ATTTCAATATGAGTAGAAAAATGAGAGTACCCCTAACATTTTTTTAAAGAAAAAAGCACTGCCTTTATCTATATCATTATGCAGATGTACCAGTCATGCATGTTCAAACCTGCTTTCACACATCTATTTTCTTTCAAACCTTTATAAACCGCTTACTCTTTAAAGGCTCTCAAAGTGGTGCACAACATAAAGACAACGACAACATTAAATCAAAAATACTCCATTGGCCAGTAAAACAGCTGGATAAATCTAATAAATAATGGTAATAGTAATCATAAAGGTAAAGGTAAAGGGGCCCCTGACCATTAGGTCCAGTCACAGATGACTCTGGGGTTGCAGTGCTCATCTTGTTTTATTGGCCGAGGGAGCCGGCGTACAGCTTCCGGGTCATGTGGCCAGCATGACTAAGCCACTTCTGGTGAACCAGAGCAGCACGCGGAAATGCCGTTTACCTTCCTGCTGGAGTGGTACCTATTTATTTCCTTGCACTTTGATGTGCTTCGAACCACCGACTTTCTGATCGGCAAGCCTTAGGCTCTGTGGTTTAACCCACAGCGCCACCTGCATCCCTATAGTAATCATATAAACATATAAAAACAAGAATTCTGACAAATGAAGATTGGGTCTGATCTTACGGTTCAGGGAAATCCTAGACAATAGAATGTTATCTCAAAATGTCTGAGGCAACCTGTGGTTGTTGCTTCACATATGGCAGAGGGAGGAGCATTCCATAACACAGGGGCAATAGCAGAAAATGCCCTTTTCAAGTCACCACTTTCTGTAAGGCGTGGTGTCCCTGGTGATCTAAGTGATCTTACAGGTCTGTACAGGGGCAGGCAGCCTTTCAGGTAACCTGGTTCCGAGTTGTTGCGCGTTACATGGATCTCTGTTATTTCACCAGGCTGCTTGTGTTTCCCAGGGTGTGCTGTCCCTCACTTCACCATGAAAATAATCATGATTTAAAAATAATTAGAAAAGCTTAATGCAAAAAGAAAGAAGTCTGCTCTTGACACTGACTTGGCTTTCAAGGAACTCTTGGTAACCTGAGGGCACGACCTGACATGAAGAGCAAAGTATGGCCCAGAAATCAAGTACAAATCAAACAAACACTCTGACAACATCTGCAAAGAGAGGGCAGCTTAAATAATAGATGCAGAGTTTGCTGCTCTCATCAATCTTTATTCATAATCTTTATTTTTAGACAGGCAAGAAACCTAATTAAAGATGCATTTTAAAATTAAAAAGACAAAGAGCCAAAAAGTCACAAATCCATTATCATTACTGCTTAGTGCATATTAAACAGAATGTAAATTATCCATTAGTTTTCTGTGCACTGTGGGGTGTCAAAATTATATATCATGTTAATGGGTCATCATGGTTGGCCCAGGGGCTGTGTAAGTCAGTTTCTCAGAAGCACAATTGCTATCCAGGCTCAGAGTAGCTGGGAATATTTCTAAGGGCACACAGTGGAATCCATCAACTGGAGAAATATGCTCATGCCACTTTTTAGATAATGTCTTCAACCAACACAATGTCAGTAGGTTTCAGGGATAATTTCCACAATGCTGAAAGTGGACTGAAAGGGGGATTGTACACATAGGGTCTGGATTTGGCTGCCTTGGTCAAGGAGTTGTGTGATGGTTTTCCACATGTCTCACCCACCAGGATGGGAAACTCTTTTAAAAAGTAGGCATTGCAACAGATGCAACTCTTATGCAATGCCTCTCCCAATATGAACCAACCCGGACCCTGCGATAATCATCTGAGGCCCTTCTTCATGTGCCTCATCCATGAGAAGTCTGGAGGGTGGCAAAATGAGAACTGGCCTTTTCTGCAGTGGCTCCCCCTTGTGGAATCCTCTACCCAGAAAGGCTCGCCTGGAACCTTCATTACATATATTTAGGCCCCAGGCAAAAGCATTCCTCTTTTCCCAGGCCCTTGGCTAATTAAACAATCTCTGGCCTTTTAAACTGGGTGGGTGTATTATTTTTGTTTGTTACGAGGTTATGTATTTTTGTGTTTTTATATTGTCAATCATCCTGTGATCCTCAGGGTGGTATATACATTTTAAAAATCAGAATAATACCTTCATATCGTAGATGATATTCCAGCCATGCAAGAGCCAGGGATTTGTATGCAGACACCGCCCTCCACCTACCAAGCAAGAGACATTCTCACGGTTCAAGGAATCATTCTAGCCAGGCAAAGGCACCCAAGGAGTACACAATGTAGGACTGGTGAAATGTGACCAAGGGAGAGAGTCTGTGGTCTGGGGAGTGGTCTACAGAGTGGTCTACAGAGAGTAATGGGAGATGGATAGAAAGGTCCATGTGCCTGAGATTCATCACCTCATATGAGCTCATGAGCTACTAAATCTAGTCTACCTCATTTCCTCCTTTTAAGAAATCTGCATGAAAAATCTACATGTTTGCATTTACATTTTTAATTCTGCTTTCTCTCAAAATGCTCATTTCTTTTTCACAGTACATCCAAATGAAATGCATTTTGATAGGTTTCTGGAGCCAATAGCTACAGTACACCAGAAAAATCTGTGAGGTGCAGAAGTGAATAAATAAGTTTTGATAAGCAATTAGTCCTGAAAATGCAGATCTGGTCAGCTCAAACTGGAGTTCATAAAGCTCTGGTTTTTCCAAGTAGGTCAATTTTGATATGGACTGGTCTTTTACAGTAGAGATAACCAGCTTCTATATTCTTTGTTCTCCAGGTAGCCCTTCAGATGAGACAAGACTCTTTACCAAAGTCTCTGTCCGGGTAAAAGATGGATCAAGGGGTTGGCACAAGTCCCCTGTGAGGAGAGTCTACACCACCTGGAGCTTTGTAGTTTAGAAAAAATGATTAGTGAGGGTCACATGATGGATGCTGTGGAGGAAGAGATGTTTTTGTACCACTATCACAACAGCAGAACAGTCATCCAGTGAAGCTGAATGATGGGAGAAATACTTCCAGTCTCAGAGGTGCTATGCCTTTGGGTACCAAAGAACACAACTGGGGAAGAGCACGGTGGTGCTCGTTTCCTGCTTGTGGACTTCAATACTGTAGATAATTGGTTGGCCTTCATGAGAACAGAATGCTAGGCTAGATGAGTCTATGACCAGATCCCATGGGGCTGTTCCTAAGTAGCTATCAGAGATGTCATAGTATTTGTTTTCTTATAAATGAAACTGTGGGCAAATATTTTAGCATGCACTTGACTGAAACTTGGTGGAAGCATGGGATCAGATTGCTTTGTAGATCAGTGACCTGCTTTGTAGAAGTTCTTGCTGAGGATGAAGACACAAACAGTCGTGAAACAATAGGAGAACAACTTTTTAAAATAAAAATAACTTGATTAAAACTTAGGCACTGTTGGAAATACGGATTTTGAACTCAAAACAGGAGCAGCAGCAGCAGCAGCAGCAACAACACACAATTAAAACGGTGTGTGGCTCTACACATGGGTTTAGAGTAGCATGTAGCCTGTTGGTTTTTTGAACTGGGAGACCCATTTAAGTTCCTCCAGGAAGCTTAGTTGTGTCTTATCTTACTTGACAGGATGATTATAAGGCAGAGAAAGGTGACAATGAGAAAGCATTTGCATAAGGGCAGCACACTTTGGGATTTGTTGGTTTAGGTAATTAGTGAGCACTTAAAAAAAGAGAGAAACCTATCCTGTGTATAATCTGGAAATGATTCATTTTACTATTAGAAAGGATGGAACATCAGAGCGGACAATACACACATTCATTCTGTTAAGACAAAAGAGAGCGGCATGATTTCAGTTCCTATCCTTTTCTCCTTCCATACTTTTTTGCCTCCCCGTGGGCTACTTACGCTATTGTCATGAATACATTAGGCATTATGCATAATATCAGATGATTTGAAGAACTCTCTGGCAGATGTAGATTAATTGGTTTCTAATGGGAAAATGCATGTGTGGTGCACTCAGAAACTATTTTTATTGCAAGGCATTCTTTCCCTCCCATGTGTTGGATCACAACCATGTATGCATCTGGAGATTAAGCTTTAATGAAACTTTTGTCCTCGTTGGTATAAGAAGGGGGGTGGGAGATAATACAGCTTCCTTTTTGCTTTAATACAGGACAGCATTTCTGAAACACTTACTCTGGTCTGTGATGGATATGCTGCTGTAATGATATTTGGATTAAGGATGAATGGATTTCCCCCATTCCATTCTTTATTGTTCCATGGGTTCACTTGGCCCTGCATCCACTCCTCCTAAATTCTGGTTTAACAAGGAGGATTTCTGATATTAATTTTAAAAGAAACAGGAGGGGAATACCTTTATTAGAAGCAATGCAAATGTCACAAATTGGTAAGCAAGTTATCAAGCATCCAAGAACTCTTCTTTGGGGTAGGGTGATTTGAAAGCTTGTTCACTATTTTTTGTTTTTTTCATTGGCCTTAAGAAAATGTATTCCCCCAGTATCCATTTTTTTTTACTTATGGCCCCAAACACCAACATGGTTACCTAGAATTTTTGTAAAATTATTTCTACACATTTTTTGCACAGTACCTTAGGAGTGGGTACCTTGTGGTTCTACAGATGCAGACTCTCCAAGTGCCCCTATTATCCAGCGACACTCCTGGATTTAAAGAAGCCATCCCAGCTTCTGATTTGACCCCAGAATGCCCCACTTTTCCTTAGGACACCCCTATTTTTATCAGATAAATATTAGAGAATATGAAGTTATGTGACCCTTGACCCAAGGAGATAACTATACAACATTTAGAAGACATCTGAAGGCAGACCTGTTTAGGAAAGTTTTTAAATTTTTAAAATGTTTTTATATATGTTGGAAGCCACCCAAAGTGGCTGGGTCAACCAACTCAGATGGGTGGGGTACAAATAATAAAATTATTATTATTATTATTATTGAGAAAAAGTTGGAGAAAAGTTGGAAGGTAGCTCAGCACTACTGTCTACACTGACTGACAGTGTCTCTTCAGGGTTTTAGGCAGGGTTCTCTCCCAGCTACACCTGGAGAAGACAAGGGGTTGAACCAGAGACCTTCTGTATCCAAAGCAGATGCTCTTTCACTGAGCTACAGCCCTTTCCCTTTGTAAGATTCCCATCAGCGCCAACCCTCAAGGCCAATGGCCACTGGTGATGGAAGCTGTAACCCAGCAGCATCTAGAGACCCAGAGCTTCCCCACCACTGATATATTTTATTTATTTATAATTTCATTCATCAACACTTTAAGGTCACTTTTTCAGGCAGTGCCCACACAGGCTTCTTACAACCATAAAACCATCAAGAAAGGGGAAAAATAGTAACAGAAAAGATTTTACATGAAATCAACTCATCCAAATTTCTCACAAGAATAAGAAAGCTAGAGAAAAACAATTAACCCAATCTCTACTGAGTGGTACATAAGATTCCAGGGGTCTTGGCGCTTAACCAGGTTTTGTGTTTCCTTTGGAAAATCAAGGCTATAGTGTCATTATGAAATATTGTTTATTTACACATATTTACAGCCTGAATCCTTCAGTGGAGGGGGTGCAGAATATTACACTCCGACAGTGTTTTTTGATGCTTCTCTAATAGCTTCAGCAAGCTTGGGTCCTGCTAGCATGAATGGATTCCTGCCTACTTCCTGCTCCTTCTTTCCAGGACCCCTTGCAAAACTCAACTTCCATTTACATTACCCCCCGTCCCACTGGCAAGCTCCATTTCAAGAGCCTCCTGCAAAAGGCACTTTTTCCTGTGGTGACATCACGCCCTGTAACCCTGGCAACCTCCCCCTTCTTCCTTCTGTCTCTGTCCACTAAGTATCTGCATTGTCAATTGCCCTTCATGGCCTGGTACTTGGATTTCTTTCTCTCCTAATGGCACCTCTGTCAGCTGATCTCCTGAACAGGAAAACTGGTATAGCCTGCATTTTTACAATGTGCCTGGCATCTTCCCTTAATACTCCAAATGTTAGCTCAGTTATAACATTTACTAATTTAAGAATTGGGGGGACCTGCCCCCTGCAATTCATAACAATATGTAGCCACCGTCCAACCAGTAGACTGGAAGGTCAAATGAAAGGATGAGCCTTCAGGGCTGAGCTTGAAAACCCTGCAAAATGGTAATTCGGCACAGGCTGAAAGAAGAGAATTTTATTTATCTATTTTCTCCCCATTGCGTTGCTGATACACATGTGCAAACACTATTAAAACAACCAGCACCAATGCTTTGCTATCAGCTCTTACAGAAGGCCTGTTTATCTTAGCATTTGTACTTGCAAAGTAGCTCAGTTGAAATATTATGGCAGGCTCTTCTATACTGAACTGTAATTTTTTACAGGGATCCAAATTTATCTCTCCAGTACTTTCTTTGCACTTGGGGGACTCAGGTGAATTTTATGCTTCAATTTCAATGGCAGACTTCTGTAAGATTACAGGGGGGGGGGGGGAATAGTCCAGGTCCTGACTGTAGGCATCAAAACTAGCACACAATTGTTAAAGGGAAGATGAGTTTTGAATCAAAATTGCCTGCATTTTTGAACCAGCTTTGAGTGTGGATTTTTTATGCTTTTATTTTAAAAGGTGCTATCTGTAAACAAGCATATTGCGTTTTGCCCTCTGGTGTGCTTGTCTTAATAACCCTATTCTGTATTTGATGTTTATGGTCTGCAGACCAAGTAATCTACTACTAATTTTGATGCGACCATATGTATAATTGCATCAAGATTGTTTTCGTGCAATGTTTTAGTGATCCACATGTGCATTCCTACATAATGTAAAAGACCACACAAAAGGTATCTTGGTTGAATTACATGTATGATCAATGTTGTTTGCAGTGTTTTATCGATGCGGACATGTGCATCAGTGATGTAGCTGCCCCAATATGACTGCTCCATGTTTGATAGACCACATACCTTCTTATACAGGATCTGAATCTTCATTGAAATAGCACGTAGGCATGAAACCAGTTTTAGTGTCAAGTTCAGCCTCTGGAGACTTGAAGTAACAGAACGCCTTTGAATATGCAGAGCTAGCCACAACCAAACCCCACACATCTGGAATGAGGGAGAAAAGGCTTCCATGTAAAGAGGCATGAATTTGAAACAGACTTGGGTCCTGGTACATCTCATTTTAACAATTCCACACCATAATTCTTTAAAAAAATGAAATAAAAATCTTATTGCCACAGTTGATCCTCATATTGTCCTTATAATATACCAGGTGATAAGTCCTGTTGCTAAATCTTTGATGTACCTAATTCCAAAATAAATGGTGTGCGCTCGATACCTAGGTAGACTACAGAATCAGGCTACTGATTCATGGCTTTATACTTCAGTGAATAAGCTACAGAGCTAGGATACCATTAGAAAACAATAAGGACACATTATAGGAAGATAAAGGTAAAGGTAAAGGTACCCCTGCCCGTACGGGCCAGTTGTGTACGACTCTAGGGTTGCCTGCTCATCTCGCTCTATAGGCCGTGAGCCGGCGCCATCCGAAGACACTTCCAGGTCACGTGGCCAGCGTGACAAAGCTGCAGCTGGCGAGCCAGCACCAGCGCAGCACACGGAAACACCGTTTACCTTCCTGCTATAAAGCGGTACCTATTTATCTACTTGCACTTAAGAGTGCTTTTGAACTGCTAGGTGGGCAGGAGCTGGGACCGAACGACGGAAGCTCACCCCGCCGTGGGGATTCGAACCGCCGACCATACGATCAGCAAGTCCTAGGCACTGAGGTTTTACCCACAGCGCCACCCGCGTACCATCTAGGAAGATAAAGTAGTGTAAATGTTCAGGTTTCAGGACGGCTGGATTCAGAGATGCGCCCACCTGGGGTACTGTGAAAATGGTGATCTCTTATAGGATGTTCATATTACAGCTAACCACATGACATAGTGGTGAGCAAAGGTCGCAGCACTGAGCTTTCTCCTTTTAAAAATAAGTTTCCAGCCCTTTTAGAAGGAAAGTTATGAAACAAAATGTGCAGACCACCTTCTAAGAGCTGCAATTTCCCCCTCTGATCCTAAACCTCCACTGCCTTGAAGGAAAAATCCATATCTGCTGCATTGTGGGACATCTTCAAGAGAAGAAAAAGCTAAACAGTAAACCCTGCAGAAATCCAGAATGGAGGGCATAGGATTGCAGCCTTGGCTGGCTTGTGGGCAGACAGGCTCATGGTGAGGAGGTCTGTATCAATGCAAAACAAACAGAACTTAAATATATTCAGCACACTGGGCATAAAATAAAATAATAACACCGACGTGATTATATTATTATTAATAAAATAAAACAATCCCATCACACTTTAAAATCCTGTTGCATATATATTGGAATGGACAAACTCCCTCCTTAGAAACTTATTGAAACCTGAGCATCTTTTGCATGTGTTATAATACTTTTCAATTCAGGCAGGCTTTGGTGGGTGTCAGGTAGAAATAGCTAAGCATTTGTGATGTTTGCAAGTTGCTTCATTGGAATCTAATGGATTTTTAATGTGAGCATTTCCTAATTTTCTGTGACCTACCCTGAGGCTTTAGTTGAATTAATCAAATATTATTAGAGAGTTTTGCATGAAGCCTCCATGCATTGAAAGAAAGTGGGTTTTTCCCCCAATGGGGGAGGGTCATCAGGCAACATAAGTTACATAGCTCCACCACAGTGACCATGCCTCCTCACAAGCTATAGTTTTGGTGAGTATGCAAAAGGGGTGAGGTAAAAACTAAAAAACAACAACCAACAATTGTCTTCAAATATACTTTTTGCAAATACGTTTTACACGTTTCCCCAAGAAAATTCATTTCTGTTCAACTAAGAATCTTGCTCTTTCTCTGTAAGACCCCAAAGTGGTGTTAATAACCTTATTTAAGAACAACAACGCACAAACATACCAGTATGGGAATCCACAGACAGAATTTGATTTTTCATTTGTGGAATAAGCTATCAAGAAGCAAAAGAATTTAAGCTTGCATGATGCACTGCCTAATCTAACATTGGTTGCCTGGCTATCCATTCTGGCCTGCTATGACTCATTGCCTGGGTTGGAGCCACACACTAGGAATCCCTACTTGAAAGTATCCTCTATCTTTCCAAGATGGTTTGTCTCCCACTGCTAGGTTCATCGTCATAACACAACTAGGGCAGCTCCATCCCATGGTGCCTCTTCCTTAGCAAGGCACACTCCAGCCCCCTTTTATAAGTAGATTGGAGTTAACAAGCTGCCCCTGCCCCTGCGACTCAGAGACATAATTACCCATCATCTCTAGGCAGATCTCAAGCATCTGACATCGGGATGTCATGACAGGAAAAGCCCTTCAGGATCCAAGACTTTGCCTAAAACCTGCATGATGCTTCTCTGTGACTTTACAAAGCTGGTATAGCCTTATCTTTAGGGTACATACCAATTTGTTTCCCATTAATGTATTCTTTTTGTGACCTCCTAATTAATAATATTAAGGGAATTTAGCCTGGGAATCCAAGAAAAGGCAGTATTCTAGGACCCTTATTGAATATTAATATCCATCTTGTAGCAAAAGCTGAACACTTGTTTATGTATATTGGAGCCCCACTGGCTTAGGTCTTTACCAGGAAAACAACAAAGATCGGAAGGGGGGCACGCGAAATAACAAATTACAGCTGAAACAAATCATCAGCACCACTGTTTTCAAATTATTATATTTCTGGGGGATTTCAGTCAGTTACATGAAAAAGACACCAGATTCAATAGAGCTTTGATAGTCAGGTTATGTTAATAATGGGGACTCATGTAAAATGCATTAGGTATACCTTACAGATGAAGAAGATTGCCGATAATTATTCTGTATGCTAAGAGTGTAGCTCTTTCTGAACTGATATATAAAGACTCCTTTACATCCCAGCCTAATTACTTATAGACAGTTGAGCACAAAATTACTTTCATCTGTTTGAACATGTGGAAGGAAAGAGATTAGAGATGTAGGTTTCAAAACAGCTGGTTGGCGTGTTAAAGAAGAAAACCTACTGGTACTTTGGTACTGATTGAAAAAGTGCATTTCTTTATAATTAGACCTATTAAAGTGAATATCGTGTGTGTGTGTGTGTGTGTGTGTGTGTGTGTGTGTGTGTGTG